TCTCTCCTACCCTTCGAGCCAGGTACTATCACGAGCCCAATGCATCACAGCACAAGACTAAAGGGCAACATCTCTTTTCTGCAAGACATTTAGTGAGCTCTGTCTCTTGAAATGTCCCTTCACCTGTACAAATGGCTGTTTTCGCACTCTCCAACAGATGTATCTCGCGGCTCGTACATCTCCGCATAAGCCAAAAGGGCATCTGCAGCTACAAGACTGCACGGGCCATCTCACCGATACACACTCTTGTCTTGTCTCTATTTCTCTCCACATGTTTTCTCTATTATTGCTCTGTCAGGGGGATGTTTTTCCTCTTAGCGTCACCTCCACGCAGCCGTCTCTCTTCCACCCTCTGCTCCTCTCTGCCGGCTTATGGGCCATTTCACAATTACTGCAAAATGAACTGCTGACACACACACGCACACACACGCACACACACACACACACAGATAGCAGCGAGAGGAGGGATTGCAGAAACCGTAATGAGGAGCAGATGAAGAGAATTCCCTCTTCTCCGCTCGCGTTTTGCCACCGTTTCCAATTCTGGAGCTTGTTGTGTGTCGCTGGTTTTGTTGGCCGTGTTTTGTGCATTTAACTGTGGCTGATTTGAGTAAATGCTTCTCTGCGCGATGACAAACGAATGCATACAGCTCTTTTCTCTTGGATATGTTCTGTATTGTACGGAACATGGGGTTAAAGGGAGGTCTCTGTAGATTTGCTGCTGAACAGATGGAATGGGTTCAGAATCAGCTCCAGTCTGGTTTCTCCGACAGCTTAGTATTCCGGAGCCAAATTGTATATTTAGTCACACTTACTTTTTGTTATCACTGTAGATTTAGGTGTTTTGGCACAGATAGATATATGACCTTAATACAAAATCTCACTGGTTACTTATCTTACGGGACTACTAGTAATTACAAGAAACTTAAATTAGTACTGTTTCATGGTGTGTATTTTTTGTTATTTTGACTTGTTCTGTGGTTTTGTTTAAGTTTTACTTCCTGTTTTCCCTACTGTGTTTCACCTCTGTTTCTCTGTGTCTGTAGGTACCTTGTGCTTGGATTTTTTTTAGTTTGTGTTTATACCTTGGACTCTAATTTCATTTTCATCATTAAAGTAGCACTATAAGATTTTCTTGTCAAGTGATAATTAAATGGCCCTAATCTGTCAAAAGGCGTTGATAAAACGTGCTCTTTTCAAATATTTCTTTAACTGATAATAGTAGTTTAGCCGAGATATTCAAATTTTCAAAATTGGTTTTAAAGCCACTAAATCTTGTTATTGTTTTCATATCGATGTCTCGCTCTGTCCTGCAGAACTAAACTAATGACAAAACAAGAAATAAAACCAGGATTTCTATCTTTGTGAAAAAGGTGTTGGTTATAGATTTGTTGTTGACAAAACTCTTGTCTATTCAGCTGTTATGGTTCCAGCTGGATTCGTCTGCATATCTGGCAACCTGAGTCAGGGAGAGTGGGAGAGGCTGCAGTACCACTTTTACCAGATTTTTACATATTGCTCCTTTAAATCATTATTTTTCCTGCATTTTGAGTCCTCCTTCATCTCACCTCATGAAAGTATGGGCACTTCTCTCGGCTTTTAAGTTATTTGTGGCGTCACCTTCATGAGAAAGCCAGACCCTGTTAGACCTCTATAAAGTTGTTGCGTCCTTAAGCAAGACACTTAACCCACATTAAGTCTGGTGTGTGTCTGACTCCTCACTGTAGCTTTTTTTTTAGTATTCCACCGTTGGTCCTGCTCTCATTTTGTGCCAAGACAGAAGTTGAACCAGATTTCAGAGCCAAGAGCCAGATTTATTGAGTGGAAAAGTGCAAACGGATTCTGGAATAGACATCATCATTCTATGTGGCTGGGCAAAAAACTCAAAAGTATTTAATCAATTTTACTTTTCGTATCGTAGTTTTAACATGGGAATAGTGTAAAAATGTGAAACCGAGGTAATCGAGTTTCTTCTGTCTCCGCTTCTCTGGGCCTCTGTAGTTTAGCCAAGGGTAAATATCAGGACAGTCCACAAAGATCAGCGTCAAGTCTTCAGAAAAGGCGCAACATTATTCTTGAGACGTCAGCGTATGTAATACTTTTATGATCGATTTTGGATTCAAATCAAAAAAGTATTTTAGATCCAAGGATTGAGCTTCTTTCATTAAACAGTGATCTTTGGTGACTTTGATTCACATGTATTTGAATTACTGCTCCTTTTGAGCAGTACTTGTCTGCTCAAATAAACAAATAAATAAATAAAAAAAAATATATTTAAAATCCCAAAATCCACAAATCATGAACCCTAGATTACATCCATCCTGTTTTATATTCCAACGACACTAGTGGTTCAGACTATGGTAACAATTAACGACAATGCATAAAGGCTTTTGGAGAAACTTGTATTACTGTAGTAGAAAGTCACATTTTGGTTATTATGGTTATTTTTTATTAGCAATTCTGAAGCAATATTGTCGTTGTTGTTTTCATGTTTATTGTTTGTCTTAACAGTCTTTCTTTAAGAGCAGTATGTAAAAATCTGGCCAAAAGCAACCTCTCCCACTCTCCCTGACTCAGGTTGCCAGATATGCAGAAGAATCCAGCTGGGACCATAACAGCTGAATAGACAAGAGTTTTGTCAACAACACATCTATAACCAACACCTTTTTCACAAAGATAGAAATCCTGGTTTTATTCCTTGTTTTATCTTTAATGATTTGAGAATCATAACGAGACCTTTTTTAGTTCTGCGGCCACATGTTACTTTACCAGTGAGATTAGCTTGACGCGGTGAGTTCTGACAACCAGGATCATGGACTTTCTGATTGGTGAAACGGTGGAGGGCGGGACATCGAAATGACAACAATAACAAGATTTAGGGGCTGGAAAACTATTTTGGAAATTTGAATATCTCTGAACTACTTTTATCAGTTAAAGAAGAACTGGAAAATAGCAGGTTTTATTCATGCTTTTTGACAGATTAGGGTCCGTTAATGATGACCTGACATGACAATCTTACGTATTGCTACTTTAATGTCCTTTTGTGAACAAGTCAGACATTTTTCAAAGTATATCTCTGAGTGAGGATGGAACTTCTATGAAAAAAGCAGATCTAAATATGTGACAGAGGCTATATGTGAAAACTAGTGATAGAAGCAAACAGTGGTGAGAGCTGTAGTTGCATGGACTTTGTATATATTCTCTAGCTTCAAAGTTAGGTACTTGAGCTTTAAAAGGCACACAACATGCTCTTGGAGTTTTTTTATCTTCGCAATAGTATAATGCTTTCTGCACTGGTCTCGTTCCGTCTCATATATTTCTGTGAAACGTGTGTTGGAGGAATGCAGAAGAACCCGTCAGACTTTCCTCATACCAGAGTCTGTGGTGAAACATCTCCAGACTTTTCTCTAGAACTAGACTTTCCTATTCTATCACACCTCATTATTTAATTTGCAAACACATTACTCAGTCAGAACAGCTACCTAAACAGCATTTTCCAGTTTGCACACTTTGGCATAAGTTCTATTCCCCTGTTTTATGGTTATCAATGCTGTGAACGCAGATCAGAGGGAGCACTGCAGGGCTGCAAAAACACAAGATTTAACTGTTTTCAACCTGGATTTGAGCATTGTTAAAGTAAGTAAGTCATCTTTATACTTAGCACAGGCCACAAAGCGCTTTACAATTGTTGTGGGCATTTTTAGTAATAGAGGAAACCAACATAGACATGGGGAGAACATTCAAACTCCACACAAAAAGGCCCTGTCGAGAGGTGGAATCAAACCCAGGACCTTCTTACTGTGAAGGTGCTTCTTGCTGCTTGATGTGCTAACCACTTCTGCTTGAGTTGTAATCGTTTCACATATTTGCAAAATCAACTCATTGATGTAAGGCCCTCACTGTATTCAATGTTTCATATTGAATTTATTTAATGAACGATTGAATGTAAAATTATGCCCAATTATGATTATTTACTAAAAACACAAGAGGTGTGAGTGCAAACAAACGTAAAAGTGGGTGGTCAGGAGCTCTTTGAGGATTCATGGGAAAATAAAGTAGAATACAAAGAGAAAGGGTCCGAGATACACTGATTTAACTTGAAAATCTCAAAGTCCCTTCCAAAATAAAGTATTAGTGTAGTTAGTAGAAGTTAAATCAGAGAGCCTCGAACCTCCTCTTTGTTTTCTAGGATTTTTTACTATTTGAAAATAACTATATTTACTTATTTGAAAGAGAAAGTTCGTGTCACTAAACAAACTTTTTAAAAACATGAATGTAAAAACATGCTTTATTATTCTCAGGCTATTTTCCATTCATAGTCCCAGTGAAATATGGAGTTTAAGACTAACTCATTGTTGTTCAAAGGGTTTCCCTCGGGGTCGGGATGGAAATACTGTAAGTTTTATTGTTTGATATGAATGAATCTTGAAAAGGAAATGCCAGACGTCCTGAGAGCAGCCTCTGATGTTGAGAGGGAACTTACATCATCCTGTTTCTGTTCTGATGAAATATTTAAGGACTGCGACTTTCTGCCCTCGTGTCACACAGCTTTTCAAAAATGACGCACAATTACAGATGTCCTCGGCAATCACTGAGCTTTCACATCAGTGACGGCTTCAAGTCTCACATGGGACTCGGCTTCTTCATAGAGTTGTATTAGAATATTGACATAGTGTGGCTGTTAGTACCTTGGTTGAAGTTGAACAAAAACGTGCTTGGACTGTATATATATTGTTGGTCTGCTGTAATAACACATTGTGAAGGGTGATGTATTGGAATATTGTAATATTGAAACTTCTCTGTTCAGTCCGGTACCTGAGCCACTGACGCGTTGTTCCTGATAAAATAAGTTTGAACCAGTAATATTGTCGTGCTTTACCTTCCGTTGGTGATGGTGGTGGTGGTGCGTGGGTTAGGAGACACACGACAAGGAATCTTCTTATGTGAACTTTAATGAGTTCAAGTAAAAAGTACGTACAAAAACAGCTGTTAGTGATCAGTCAGGATAACACACTGTGTTGCGGCTTCTGGCTCGGGTATGGACAGCGGTTGAGCAGTGTCCATACGTGGGCCATCACCTAGCAACAGTAGTCTGACAACAAACATCTTGTGATAGTGAAACGTTATGTTCAGCTGCATACACGGACCTGACCTAGGCTATGAAAAATTAAATTAAAATACAAAACTTTATTTATTATTACTCTATGGTTATGAACATCTTATTCAGCCTTACACTACCCCCCCTTTTAAGAGTACTGAGTCCCTTCAGTGCAAGTAACGTAGGGAAAACCTTCTAGAAATTAGGTAACTACAATAACTAAACGCAAGTAACTGAAAGAGCTTGTCATAAGTGTAACACAACACAAATAATTTTCCTTAGATCAGTATTAACATCTAACTGTTAGCTCACAGACTTTAGCTTAATATAACTCATAACTAATATCCGAATCTCTCTGGCATATTGACAATGCGACCTCTAGATGTTTTAACAGTCTTATCTGAAGAGTTTGTATCGCCTTGTCTTCTTCCTGGTTGGCACCCTGGATCACTGGACTGGGATGCCTCGCCTGGACCCTTGGATTGGAACGCCTCACCCGGACCCTTGGCAGGACATGGATCATCTGGCAGCGGTAGCACTGGCACCAGTGGAATGTCCTCTTCATGTGACTGGATGTCTGGATCTCGGCACTGCTGCAGCAATTTGCTTCTTTGACGTGAAACCCAGACTGGTATCACTTCACTGTCATAGGGCTTGAGTCTATCATGATGCATTACTGTACTGCGCTTGGGACCTTGAATCTCGTAGAGTACAGGACCACGTCGTGCTGCAACAATCAGGGGGCCTTTCCATGGTGCTTGGAGCTTTGGGCTTAGTCCTTTCTTTTTGGTGTCATCTTTAACAAACACCAGGTCTCCAACACTGTAGGAGTGTTCTCTTGCTCGTAGGTCATGCACTTTTTTCTGTCTCTCTTGTGCAGTGCGGAGATGGTCTCTTGCTAGGCTGTGTACCTCTTTCAAACCTTCTTCCAGATTGTAGAGGAAATCTGCTTCTTTCAATGGGTCGGCACTGAGTTTTGCGCTACCAGACTGGATATCTTGCGGTTGGTGGACCTCTCTGCCAAGCATAAGTCGGTTGGGTGTGAACCCTGTCACTGCGTGCCGTGAGCTGCGGTAAGCTGCAGTAAGTAGTGGCAACTGCTCGTCCCAGTTCTTTTGGTTCTGGTTCACATAACATCGAAGCATCTGCAGCAAGGTCCTATTAAACCGTTCTACCTGTCCATTAGAGGAGGGGTGGTAGGGCGTAGTCCTGGTCTTGGTAATTTGCAGAAGTTTGCACACATTTCGAAACAACAAACTCTCGAAATTACGGCCTTGATCTGTGTGTAACTCGAGGGGGGTTCCAAACTTGGCGACAAAGTCATAGACTAGCTTTCTTGCAGTCGTTTCAGCACCTTGGTCAGGGACTGGAAAAGCTTCAACCCACCTCGTGAACTGATCGATAATGACAAGAATGTACTTATTACCAGAGCTGGATACTGGAAATGGGCCGAGGATATCAAGGTGCACGCGGCCCATGGGTGCTCCAACTTGGTAACTTTGCAACTTTGCCCTTTTTGTTGGTCCGGCAGTTTTGCATGCACTGCAGTGTGGGCACCTCTTGACAAACAGCTGAACATCTCTGCCCATTCCATACCAGTGGTAGCTTTGCCGCACACGCTGTAGGGTTTTGGCTTCTCCCAGGTGACCAGAGTATGGAGGATTGTGGCATGACTGTAGGATTTCTTTCTGCATGGACGATGGAACTAATAGCAGCTGAGTTGGGTGCTGGTCTACAATTCTGTCCCAGGAGTAATAGAGGACTCCTTGTCTTAATATGACTTGGGGCCAACATAGACAGAACTTTCTTACAGCAGGGCCCTCCAGCATTACTTCATCTTTGGTGGGGAGTGTCCCTGTTTCCTTCCATGTATGAAGAGTAGCGAGAACAGAATCTGCTTTCTGCAATGTTGCCAGCTGCTCGGGACTAAGGGACTCAAGCCAGTTGACTTCGGGGGTCTCTGGCAAAGGTGCAGATGGCTGACTCTCAACCGGCTGCGTGCCATCAACATTTGCGTTGCCTTGGGGCTCAATGCACCTTACTGCTAGTGGCACAACATCATCCACATCTTCTTCGAACTTGGCCCACTGTTCATGAACTTTCCAGCAGTACCTGCACCCTTTGCATGGCAGATCTGACAGATTTATCCCTGCCTGGTAACAGTCACATTTGTCCATGTTGTTTGGCAGCCTTGATAGGGCATATGCATTAGCATGCTGCTTACCAGCCCGATGCTCAATGTGGAAGTCATATTGGCTCAACTCTTCCAGCCAACGAGCTAGCTGTCCTTCAGGGCACTTGAAACGGAAAAGCCAGGTGAGACTGCCATGGTCGGTCCGTAGTAGGAACTTCCTGCCCAGTAGATAGTGGCGGAACTGGCGTGTGAAGCGAACAACAGCGAGTAATTCACGACGAGTGACGCAGTACCTTTGTTGAGCTGGGGACAGGTGGCTACTGGCATAGGTCAGAACTCTCTCTTCTCCCCACTGGATCTGCGACAGGACTGCTCCGACACTGTTGTTTGAGGCGTCTGTATCCAGAATGAACTTTCCTTCAGTACGGGGATACCCCAACACAGGTGCGGTGGTCAGCTTTTCTTTGAGCATAGTAAAAGCAGCTTGGTGCTCGTCAGTCCATTGAAACACTGTTCCCTTTTTGAGAAGATTATGGAGGGGGCTTGCCAGCTCTGCAAAACTTGGGACAAACTTGCGATAATAGTTACATAGCCCAAGGAAGGCCTGCAGCTCTTGTAGGTTGTTGGGGGGGTTCCATTGCTGTACATCTTTGACAAGAGCAGGATTTGGTCCAACTCCGTTGCCACTCACAATGTGTCCAAGGACGAGAACTTCTTCTTGTAACAGGTGACATTTTGATGGCTTTAGTTTTAGTCCATAGCTCTGGAACCTCTGGAAAACCTGCTCAAGCCGATCCAAGCTCTGGTCCACCCCATTGCCAATGACAATGACGTCATCAAGATAGATGAGAAGGGTTTCCCACTGAAGCCCTCTGAGGACGAGCTCCATCGCTCTTTGAAACGTACTCGGGGCGTTACAGAGTCCAAATGGCATTCTGGTATATTCATAAAGGCTCCATTTGGTGATGAAAGCCGTCTTCTCACGATCCTTGCTATCCACTGCAATCTGCCAGTAACCAGACTGAAGATCGAGGGTAGAGAACATTGTAGCTCCACCAATAACATCTAGGCACTCTTCAATCTGGGGTAGTGGATAAGCGTCTTTAATGGTTAGACTGTTCAGACTGCGATAATCTACACACCACCTCACTCCCCCGTCCTTTTTGCGTACTAGGACCACTGGAGAGGCCCATTCGGATGCCGATGGTGTGATTACACCCTCTTCCAGCATGGCTTTAAGATGTGCCTCCTCTTCACCTTGAAATCCCAGAGGAGTTCTTCTCACAGGCTGGCGTACAGGCCTAGATAATCCAGTGTCGATCTTGTGCGTAACAACGGACATGTAACCAAGGTCAGAGTCATTTTTGGCAAAGACGGATTGGTATGTGAGCAGTAGCTGAATGAACCGCTGTTGTTGTTCCTCATTGAGAGCCTCACTTGTAGCAGCGACCAGGCCATGGAGGTGTTCGGGAATGTCAAAGGCTGTTGCTATTCTCCCAACCAGCAGCGATGGACCACTGTCATTAGTATAGCGAGGTACTGTACTTTGACTGACATGGGGGTTCGGGATGAACTTCGACGAGGACTCCGAGACATGCTCCTTTTGGTAGGGCCATTCTCTTGATTGAGAAATTACACACCCTGATTGGCACCCTTTTTTCCATAGTGACAACTACACTACCAGAGGCTACATTGTCTGTAATGTTTAAAGGCTCTAGCACAGCTGTGACCCCTGGTCTTGGGTCCTCCACTTCACCCCACACAACACATTCAGAGGTGGCTGGTATAATGGTGTTTTCTGTGAGTGTCACTCTCGCCACACAATAGTCTGATCCATTATCTTGAACAATTTTTGAGGGCACAAGTTCACCTCCGATGAAAACCTTGCCACGGGTATAGATGACAACATCATGGGCTTTCATCAGATCCAATCCGAGGAGGACAGAGTCTCTTATTGGGGCTACATGTACTTCCCAGTTAATAGACTTGGTTCCAATTTGAAAAGTCACTGTGAGTCCATGTCTAGCTTTCATGCCATCTCCAACTCCTGCATTCAGTAAGTAGGTTTGGTGTAGATCTGTAGTTGCTGTGTTGCTCTTTAGGATACTTTGGTACAGCTCCTCCGATATCACAGTTGTTTGAGCTTCAGTGTCTGCTACAGCTTGCGTTGGGATGCCGTTTATTGTCAGAGGAATTTGTAAACTCTCACCTCTTTTCTTGGTGCAGCCAATCTGACGGCCTTGTAATTGGTGATCCAGGTTAGGGGTTCTATCGGACTGCAGCAAGTAGTCTTTATGCTTGTCACCATCGCTACGTGCAGCCACAGGGCTGGGCGGCCTAGCACAGTCCTTTCGGAAATGTCCTGTTTCTCCACATCTAAAGCATGGACCAGCTGCCCCACGATTTGGGCTTGGTGATTGAGAGCAACCTCTGTTGGGTTGTGCCTGATAGTTTTGTTTTCTTTCTGGTAAAGAGCTTTGGGCTGCTTTGGGTCGGTGGGGTCCGGTGTTTGTGGACTGGAGTGTCTCAACCTGCAACTGTAGGCTCCCCACTGTGTTAACAAGGGTTTTCACTTGGTCCATTAGTGCAGCAAACTGGTCAGCCGTAACATACTGGGGGGTCTGGACTCTGCGGGACATTGTAGCAGTATCCTCACATAAGTCTCCTTCATCAACCCATGAGATGCGTCTTGCTCTGTTCTTAACTTCAGTGTCACGGCCCACGGTGGCTTTGAAGTTATGTTCATGGGCCTCCACAAACTTTTGGGCCTCAACGAAGGAGCCTGGGTCACGATTCATGACTTCATAAGCCACCTTTTGGTTTCGTAATCCCTTGAGGAAAGCATCAGTTGCTAGTTGGTCTTGCAGCTGGAGATCCACCCCTGGATAAGCAAGTGTGATAAGGCATCGCACCTCCTCTGCAAACTCAGCTGATGTCTCTCGTGCTTGCCGGAGCTCCCCTATCTTTCTTCTTATTGTGGTTGGGGGGTCTTTTTTCCCAAAACGTTGAGTGAGTTGCTTGACCAGGAGGACATAATCTTCCCTTGTACGTTCTGGTAATGAACAGACATACCGCACTGCAGCTCCTCTCAAACACTCATGTAGCCTGTCCACTCTTTCCATGGCGCTCCATCCGTATTTTCTAGCTTGACGTTCGAACGGCATCAGAAAAGAGTCCCAATCCTCATTTCCATCAAATGTAGGTAGCTTAGGTCTCTGAGGTTCTGGTAGTGTGTTGTGATAGGTTCCAGAATTATTCATCCTCCTCACATCATGGTAGGCAAGCGAGTGTTGGGCTTCACGCTCAGAGTCTCCCTCTCTGCGTCTGTTGTCAGGTTCAGGAGTTATAGTCCGCCTTGATGGACCTGAACTCTGCGACCTTTGATTTATGACCTCCAGTTCAGCTGCAAAGGGAGTAAAATCTCTTGGTCTAGCTGTCATATCAAAAGTCGTACTTTCCTCAGGTGTATGTCTTTCTCTTGTAGAATGCTTTGAGAAAAGCCCTTCACCTCCTCCAGCAGTAGTGAGTGGTGATGGGTTTTGCTGTGTAGCTGACTGTCCCGTTATGTGTGAAAGGACAGGGGCCAACATCATCTGGAGGTGTCTTGTTTGTTGATTTTGATTTTCCAACACAGCTTGTAACCATTTGGGAGCTGTTCCTGCGTCTGGAGGGCCTGCCGTAGCGCCTTGTAATTCCTCATTCATTTCCAATTCCTTTTTTTTTTTTTTTTCGTTACTTCCTGTTGCGCTTTTATTTTGAAACGAATGGACCGGAAGTTGCGCGGCAATGCTGTTGCAGCTTGACTGTTGTTTTCCTCCGCACGTACTTATTTCTCTTTTCACACACTGCCGCGGCAATTTGTAGCTTAGCTTTAAGTTGTTGTTTAGCTCAGGATACGCCTGGATACAGTCTTTTCGGTTGAAATCACATACAAGTACTGCAAGATCCCACTTCTGACACCAGTTGTCGTGCTTTACCTTCCGTTGGTGATGGTGGTGGTGGTGCGTGGGTTAGGAGACACACGACAAGGAATCTTCTTATGTGAACTTTAATGAGTTCAAGTAAAAAGTATGTACAAAAACAGCTGTTAGTGATCAGTCAGGATAACACACTGTGTTGCGGCTTCTGGCTCGGGTATGGACAGCGGTTGAGCAGTGTCCATACGTGGGCCATCACCTAGCAACAGTAGTCTGACAACAAACATCTTGTGATAGTGAAACGTTATGTTGAGCTGCATACACGGACCTGACCTAGGCTATGAAAAATTAAATTAAAATACAAAACTTTATTTATTATTACTCTATGGTTATGAACATCTTATTCAGCCTTACACTATGAATGATGAATGGTTCATTATTTACCAAAGATTCTATTGAAGACGGTCAAAAGACCTACTCACTATGCACTGACAATATATCATTATGGGGATGTATCGTGATACTTTCTCACGCAATCGATTATCGATATGCTTTTGCTTAGTATCGATATCATTGTCTGCCATTGACAATGGCAGTAAAAAGTTTTTCTCTTTTTTCTTGTTCCCAGATGTCTATTATATCTAATATGCATGGGGATTAGTTTTAGAGCATATTTTATCGAGCCATCAGGTGGCACCAGCGCTGCCTCTGGATGTTTTGAAAACAAGATGCACTTGTTTGCACCAATTTTTCTCAGCTTTTTGTCTGAGACTGGTGATTTCAGTAAAACTTCCCTCTACTCAACTGACACATATACAGTAGGTCCCATTTCGTTTTGTCGTCTTCATTCACGCTTTTCATGAATCACGCAGCTGCGTGAAACATATTACATCTTATCGCCACAAGGTGGCAGGTTAAGTCCGCTTTAGCTCTGCCAGCGACTTAAACGCTCAGGTATAAGTCTGCGTGCAAACATTGTTTGCCTAGTGATACTATGTTGGCCGAATGGTTTGAGTTGCAGGTTAGGATCCGGGGGATCTGGGTTCGATTCTTGTCTGAGGCAATTTTGGTTGCACACCTTTTGGTTGCTTGTGTGCAATTACGTAACGTTATCAGCTTGTTATCTTCTTTCCTTGTCAAAAGGATTTTTCACTTCGGGCCTATCAAAACGCGGTTTAAAGTCAAAGGATTGACTCTGTAAAACACTGTACTAACTTACTGCACTGTATTGTAAGTACAATACAATTGTATTTTACTTTATTACTTATTTTTGCTTCTTATTTTTTAATAAAAACACTTCTTCTCAAAAGTTCCTTTCTGACTTCTTCTACAGTATGGGATAGCCAGCAGCAAGTGCGTTATTGAACGTGAAACATTGGAACAAAACAAACACGAGTGTACACTATATTCTGAATACTTTTACTTTGATTAGCAATATATAGGCTGTGTATAATTACAAAAAATTAAACTACACATGTTACATATAGCTATCATTAATTAGGAATTTTAAAATGCACAGGAGTAGCAGATCATATGGCAAACATTTGCATTAACTTGCATATAAGGCATTTTAAGCGTCCCGCACATCGCACGGCTCATTCACTCACCCATTTGTCCTATTAGATCCAGTGTTTTCTCCAGCGCCTGTGTGGCGTAGCAGGATTGTCCAAGACTTTTGCTTGGACGATTGGGGTTCGAGCCCCGGCCAATCCTCAATTTTTATTAGCGGGGGGAGTATATGAATCAGATTACTCCGTTACTGAATAAAGTTGAATTTTTTTCCTGCAGTTTGGTTGGTGCAGATTGTGAAGTTTACAACAGTTTACTACAGTCTAGCACAGTGTTTTTCAACCACTGTGCCGCGGCACACTAGTGTGCCGTATGATATTGTCTGGTGTGCCGTGAGAAATTCGTCTACTTTGTCTAAAAATAACTGCATTCGCTGTTGACGAGCGGTGACTTGTTTTGAACTGTGGAGTAACCATGTAATACTTTTTCAAATCAGTAGATGGCAGCAGATAGCTAAGTACTTTGAAACTGAAAAATTGGATGCGACCACTGGCTACAGGTCAGCATTGTGGCGAGAAAGGTAAAATTGGATGCGACCAACAAATGTGGGAGGGAGCGAGACAAGAGCTTTGTGGCGAGTGAGAAGTGAAAGTGATAGAGACGTTTTTGAAAATGAATTATGCCGTTTCTGAACAGGATTAACATCCTCCGCTCTGCCCCGGGGCAGCTGTGGCCGCGTTGTAGTGGTTTAACTATGAAATGTACAATTTTTGTACAACAGCTCTCGCGAACGCACTTCTGAACTGGGTACCGAGCGCAGACCATAGTCGAGTGGACAGAACCACAGACATGCGGACCGGACAGAACCATGGACTCGCGTTCAGGACCTCCCGTGTCCCTCATCCAAAACTCCTGAATTTAAAGCTCGGATACCTAAATTTTTCCCATGCACTAACAATGCATGTTCTTTGTGTGAGTTATTATTTGACTATTTGGGCAGAGAGTGGATTTTCTTAGTTTTTTTCCACACAGTTAGTGCCACTTTATTCCCAAACTCTTGTTAATTGTATCGAGAAATATTAAATAAAGCTTAATGTCAAGGCCTGGACTTAAGCATTTTGATGAGAATAACTGTATATTGTGAATATAGGCTACAGAGTATACTGTATACATTATAAGATAAGATAGATATACTTTATATATCACACAGAGTATGTACAGTATATATTTTTTTACATTAGTACTGTATACATTTTTACATTTTCTCCTGGAGGTGTGCCGCAAGATTTTTTCAGTGAAAAAAGTGTGCCTTGGCTAACACAAGAACTCAGCAGATTCAGTCAAAACACAGACAAAAACGAGCTTAGTCTCAATTTAGAAGCTAATTTCACTTTTATTACTCTATACTTTTATTCTAATGCTGATTGTTTACACTTCACTTATTCCTAACCCTGGCAAAGATAAAAAGCCAGTACAAAAGTGGAATAATTTTATCTTCATAACTTGGTGCTGATTGTGGAGTTGTATCAAAAGTCTTTAACTTGTACTCGAACCCAGGTCCTCCTGCGTCAAAGACTTGAGCTTTATGACTGGGTGTCATAAAGCTCAAGGTGGCACTGCTCACAAGTGCCACCTGGTGGTTTTTTGGGTCATTGCAGCATCACTGGGGGGGAAAAAAAATAAAAGACGCGTGTTTCACACGTGAGTCTCGTGCTATTCACGCGTGAAAGGCGACAAAACGAAATGGGACCTACTGTGTATCAATAATTGCTGCAACGTCATATCATGAGATAATCGTTATCGTGAGCTTTGTATCGCACATCGTATCGTATCGTGAGGTACCCTGAGGTTCCCACCCCTACTATGCACCGCCTGTTTCCACACATCTTAAACAGTGGGAGGTTACCAGCAAACTCCAGTAAACCCTGCCACGCAGTGGTAGGGGGTGTTTGCAGGTGTATATGCAGAATAAATATGTTTCTGAATGAGCTCAATCAGCACGACGCAACATAGCAAGAAGAAATGCTTTAGAAAATCATATTATTCGTTTATCTTACGAGTCATAGAGGATATTTACCTTGTGGTCTATATGATAATTATTATTATTCAAATATAAAAACACACAGAAGTCCTAGTACTCTGTAAATGATGGAGGCCTTCTTCTAATTGATATAATTCTTCTGTCTTAGGTCTTGAATCTTGTAATCCTGCTGCTTTTTGATCTTCAATCATTTCTGTGATTACAATTTATAGAAGGGCTCTATTTAGAATCCTGCCTCATTGATCTCCACAGTCAGACAGTAATCATATGTAATCATGTGCTTCATTCTCATTTTTACCATATCCTGAAACACGTAAATGACAGAATGGATTCATTGGGCTGTAATGGAACACAGCATTAGCATAATGTGTCCTTGGGGTTAACAGTCTGTAGTCAGCACTAAAGCCTTTAACTGTGAAGTGCTGCTGGATCAGCCCGGAACTGCTTTAGTGTTTCTATACCTCGATTACCTTAATGTTGTTTTGATGCTTTTTAATATTACCTTGAGAGATGTCAGCAGTGATTCTATGAAAACAGTTCAAGCACAGTTCACATGTTGGAGTTAATTGAACAGATTAGTTGTGTTAAATGTGTGTCATGAGCTTTGAGGTGAACAGAAACAAGCAGTAATGAAGAGTGTCCTCCGCAGAGGGACTGGGTGCTCCCTTAAAGAGAGGAGCTTGGAGTAAAGCTGCTGCTCCTCCACGTCAAGAGAGGAATAGTTGTAAAGCGCTTTGTGACTCATTTGTGGTTGTAACTTTAACAGTTCGTATTAGACCTGGTAGATTTCAGGCCATACTTGGTCTCTGTTTTAAGCAGAATTTTTTGTGTGAAATATGTGAATCTCATGATGGAATAAAATTTGTTTTATGTACAAAACAAACAGCTATATTTGTACTTGACCCTGCTCTCTCTGTCTCTACTCCAATTTGTGCTCTGTTTTTGGATCAGAAGAGAAAAGTCTGTCGCACATGCTCACCGTGTACACAGTTTCCCAAAATATAACATGTAATACTTGCATTAGTAGCAGTAAAAGAGTCTTGTCTGGATAATTCTCCTATAGTTAAACGATTAGTATATTTGGCTCTGCTTTGTTTTTTCTCTTAAGACAATATCATTTCATGCTTGAGTAATTGTTCATTAATAATTCAGACAGCTTGACAGACAAAAGGCAGTGTGGTTATTTAAAATTCACACTCTCACAGCTCTGTGTAAACATAGGCAGTATGTGGGGTAATCCTATATTTCTGTATGTACCTCTGGATGACATTGACTTTATCACATTTGCTGCTGATGCAATTTAGACAGTGGTAATAAAATCATGTTTAACACTGCAAGCATCAATATATCATTTAAAGATATCAAGGCATATACATTTACTTAAGACCAATTACCAGACCTTCTCTCAACTTCACCATGGATAGAAATTATACTGAAGTTATTTAAAGTGGGTAGAGTGACAAAACTACACCGTCTTCCATTACCGAATCCTGAATTGTTGACACGACAAAACCATGACAAACCTCGTCACAAAAATGTGACTGCATACCACTCAAATAGAATCCTTCAAACATGCGTTTACTGTACACTTCAAAATTGTGTTATTTTGAAGTTAGTTTTATTTAATATGGAACCTCAACCAAAATATGTGCCATTATGTTTAGTCACAATTTGATGAATTACCACAATATTAAAACAATAGTCTTTTTGATATAGTAAATGCTGTTTCTCTCGGTTCTCAGATCAAAAATATGACTATAATGAGTTTATCAGTTCAAGCCCCTTCACTGTCACCTTTGTGCAAGAAACACTTCCTCATGTCTGTTTGTACGGGACATGACAGCTTTCTCTATAAAAACACTTGTATTGATTTATTTATTCTCTCCTTCTGTCTTGCCTCAGGGCGTCTGCGGCTCGTCTGATCTCTTGTCGCAGTAGGGCTGTTCTGATTGGACAGCCGCCCCCCTCACCTCTCTGAAGACCACCATGACCCAGGAGGGGCAGGCTCTGCCCTCTCCCACCCCACCTGAGAGCCCCTTAGATTCGGACACTGGCACCACAGAGCTCCCAAGCACACAGACTGAAGCAGCAGAGCCGGACGGAGCCGAACCCAGGGAGGAGGAGAGGGAGGAGAGCAGAGGGGGAGGACCAGAGACCACAGACACAAGAGATGTACATTCAACTGACCAGCAGCAGAGGGAGGAGATGGCCCCAACAGAAGAGCCAGTCCTGACGCAGCACGACACCAGGTTACTGCTTTCACAAACAAACCTTTAAAATCCTGTAACATAAACATATTCTACACATTTATACCAAAATATGCCAGTTAGTCTACTTTCAACGAAGGATGATGAACATACACAAAGATTTGTGGAGATGGATCAGAGTTTGGTTACAACAAAAAGCCTTTAGAAAGCCAACATTTCTAAAGCTCTGACTATAGGATCAACTCAAGCTTATTTAGATTCCTCCAACCCGACACACACCTCTGCCCAAAGACAAATGAAACATGTAAAAAACACACACCACAAAACAGAAAATATTGTAAAACATTTTAAAATGACCAATAATATTTCTACCAAAGATCTCACTTTCTACATCAGCTTTCTGCCATTTGCATGCGATAAAGATAATATATGTATAATTCAATCCAAAGTCTTATTGACAGACCCTGGATGTTGCGTAATGTTGTAATGACATAATCCATAAGCGGCGTGCAGCTCTCCGTGGTCTGATTTCTACATAATTAGCCTAATGTGTTTCACCCACTGAACTGACAGCACTTACGAGGGAACCAAACAAATTAAACCAATGGCTCTGACATTTCCCGCACACCGCGAGAGTCCACTGAAATTATATCTTGTTGATAAAAAGGCAGAAAGGCGAGAAGCTAAGTGCCCCGAAATTAGTGAGTCTCTAAAACATTGCTTTGTAACAATCGGAAATGCTCCAAACTGTGGCTATTGTAAGAAAATGGAAACTTAATATGCGGCTAATGTGTGTATTTTTTTATTTGCACTGTGAAATGTTGAATTTTGTGTTGAAATATCACTAGTTTAACACTTAAGATAAGATATTCCTTTATTCGAGAAATAAGGAAATAAGACTCAGATCACACACATCAAACAGGGTCTATTATTTAAGATAATAAATAATAACATTTAAATAGTAATGTAAGTAATAAGATGGTAAAATAGAATAAAATTAGATAAAACTATAGAACTATAATTGCACTTGGCTCAGAGGTATTTCCAGTGTGTAGCAGCAGAGAATGAGCAGAATATACAATAATATCAATATCAGCAGGTATCAGCAGGTAAAGTGACTAGGGAATGACAGAAATATCAGATACATGAATATGTAGGCAAGGCAAGTTTATTTGTATAGCACAATTCATAAACAAGGCAACTCCAAGTGCTGAACAAAACAGTACATTAAAAAGAATGATAAAAATATAAAATATAAAATCCCTCAGTTGTATGCACAGCTCAACAAAACAGTTTTTAACCTGGATTTAAACGTTGTCAGAGAAGAGGCCTGTCTCACATCTTCAGGAAGATTGTTCCAGATTTTAGCAGCATGAATCTGAAATGCAGCCTCCCCATGTAGTAATGCAGCAATAATCATAATAATAACAGGTGAAGTGACTTATTACCAGTTCTTAGACTTTTAACTAACCCAACTTTAAAATTTACATTCGGCATGTGACAATAATGTTTGCTGTACATTGAACTAAAAATAATTAAACAATCAACTCAACTCAAACATATTCCTCACCATCCAATACAAACCACTTTTTTTATATAGCACATTTGACATTTCCAGCTCCACGAGAGTCCATTGAAATTATAACTTGTTTATAAAAAGACAGAAAGGCGAGAAGTCAAACCTACATAGGAGGATTTTCCCAAATTTTAGGAAATAACCGCCCTCTCCACTTTTTGAACAAAACTCTGGTCTTATTGGACGAGCACATATCACCAGAATGATTGACAGTTGGGAGGACCAATCGTCTTGATGATCCACTGGAAGTAGAAAATCCTCCTTTATACCTTTAACGGTGACTTGCTAAAACATTGCTTTCTAACAATATTTCATTCTCCAAACTGTGAGAATTGTGAGAAAATTGAAACTTATTTTGGTCTAAATACGGTGAATAAAGTCTTTGTGTGCGGATGTACCAGTCGGCGGAGGTATTACAAAAGCATTATATATTAAAAAGAGCTGCGGCGCGGCAGTTTGACAGGCAGCAAATACGAGCGCTCTGCTTTTGAGTCGGACAGCACCTTTTCATCTTCCTTCCATTGTCAGCGCGCCTTTTCAAGCCGAATAACTCTCCATTCACACACTTCTCCTCAGGACTATTACAATGAATATAAATGACTGAGTGGAGAGGGTTCTGAGTATTTTGTGCAAATATTACTAAGAATATACCGGTGTTGAATGCTGCAAATGCACACGAGAGGATTAGTGTACGTTGAGTTTAATGGATTTCATTTACTAATAGCAAACTCGTAATGGTGTACTCAACATAAGGAAGGTATGTATTATGATCAGTCGCCAAGGAGACCGAAAACCCACACAGTATATATAGAGAAAATATTAATTTGCTCTATATATAATACAAAAATCTGTGGCTTAGATTCAAATGCAGCCTTTATGTGGACAATAAAATGGATAATCTTTTAAAATGTTGCTGGTGCGGCTTATATACAGGTGCGCTTAATAGTCCAGAAAGTACGCTATACTGGTGTCAAAACTTTGGATATAAACTCCAATATTTGCTTCAGGCATTTAACAAAACAAGTAACAAATAGACAAAACTAATAGCTCTGGTTGTATAGACTGATCTGTGTGAATAGATCGCGTCAGTAACAAATGCAGACTAATATTTGAGATAAACAAAATAAACTTAACTAATCAGACAGTGCTTTGTTTTAGGCACATGTGCAGTAAACTAATAACATTTGTGTTTAGTTTAGTTGTAGCATAGTTAGCACCAGAAGCCAGGACTGGATTAATACAGACTAATACAGAAACTAGCCTTCATGGCCTTCACTGCTAAATTGTACATATTTACCTGGACACATGTTGATTAATGTGCACTGACCTGATATTATAATTAAAAAGGTTTGATTAATAATATCTGAAAATCTATTTCTTTACATTGCTGTTTGTGTGTTGACAAAGGCTGGCCAACGGTATCGGGGAGGACGAGGACGACGCCGGCGAGGACCCGGCTGCCGCGGAGCAGAGGGGGAGCTTAGACTCTTTCAGCTCCAACTTTGAGTCCACAGTGGAACAGGCCGACACCGAAGTGGAAGATGAGGAGGAGGAGGAGGGAGAGGAGGTGGTCCCAGAGGAGCAGGGAAACCAGGACACCTTCAGCTCTGCCTTTGAACAGATCGTGGAGCAGGTGGAGGCTCGAGCGGAGGATGAAGAGGAGGAAGAGGAGGGGGAGATCCGAGTGGACATTCTGAAGGACGGCTTCAGCTCCACGTTCGAGCGGATCATGGAGTCTGCCCTCCTGCGCGGCGGCACGTGCTACAGCAGCCTGGACTCTCTGGACGGACTGTCTCTCACCGACGAGAGCGACAGCTGCGTGAGCTTCGACGCGCCTCTCACTCCGCTCATCCAGCAGAGGGCGCTGATGCAGTGTCCCGAGCCACTGGAACTGGAGCTGGCCACGGTGCAGGAGGGGCTGGAGACCGGGGCCGAGGGGGCAGAGGCGCCAGCCAGAGGGTCCCCGCTGAGGAACACCATTCCAGGAAGCAGGTCCGAGTTTGTCCTGAGCCAGCCGGGGAAATGGGCCATCGCTAACGGTTACCACGCTGAGGGACGGGGGGCCACGCTGGGACCACTGCACAACTCCGTCAGGTAAGAAGTTGTTGGATAGTTTTACAGGGTGGGATTTTGTTTGGTGAGACAGACCCGGGTTACATTTATCTGTAGGTTTGCATCAGTTCATTTTGTGGCTATAGTTTCGCACTGTAACTGACAATTATGTTTATTATTGATTTTCCACTTATTCTTTCTATCAATCGATGCATTGTTTACATCCCGTTATGGTTGACCTCCATCCTGGTTTGTTTTTTGGTTGTTGAAGGATTTGGGCAATATTTTTCTGTTGTTTGCTTGATTACGAAGTACAACATTTAAAATCAGAGTCAGAGTACATTTTGATTGCCATTGTAAAAGTCACAAAAGATTCTCTTTGGCTCAAGATGCAAACAAGTTGTAAGATTAAAAATAGGTAAAGGCATGGATGAAAGAAATCTTTCTCCAGCCTTAATCCAAAAAATCAGTAGCGTGAAGTGAAAGTCATAAATTAAAGGGGACAGTCATGAGTTATGAAGTGTTCATGAGTCCGACTGCAGAGCATACGGTAAACAAGTAATTCACCTTGGAGAGACCCATGAGGAAAACGCATTAGACTTATTGATTTAAGCATGTTTATTGATTGAGCATGTTTGGCGCCCTAGGCCCGGGCGGGATGCTGTTGAGCACGGCGCTTGCTCGCGTGCATGATCCCCCCGGGGCCTAGGCACTGGTGACGGCAGAGGCAGTAGGCAAGCACGCTTCATGCGAGAAGGAGGAGGTGGGGCGGCGGCGGCTTGCAGACTTCAGAAGATCGGGAAGTGGGCGTCTCCGGCTTTTAACTTGCTGTCCTGGTGGTTATTGGTTGACTGGGTGTGGGCGTTGTTGGTATTGATGAGTCGAGGAAGAGCAGCCTGTGGCCTGGCAGCAACAGCCGGGTCTACCACGGTGAACTTTCGCGAAAGCTCCATTTCACCTTGGAGAGACCCATGAGGAAAACGCATTAGACTTATTGATTTAAGCATGTTTATTGATTGAGCATGTTTGGCGCCCTAGGCCCGGGCGGGATGCTGTTGAGCACGGCGCTTGCTCGCGTGCATGATCCCCAAAAAGCGGGCCTGCGATTGGGATAGCAGGACGCACTGCGCGGGCCTGAGAGCATGAGCGAGCTGAGAACATGCGCATGTTCAGCCAGCCGCTGTAGCAGAGGAATCTTTGAGCGACTGAGAACATGCGCGCACGCGCATGTTCAGCCAGCCGCAGCAGAGGAATCTTTGAGCGAACTGAGAACATGCGCGCACGCGCATGTTCAGCCAGCCGCAGCAGAGGAATCTTTGAGCGAACTGAGAACATGCGCGCACGCGCATGTTCAGCCAGCCGCAGCAGAGGAATCTTTGAGCGAACTGAGAACATGCGCGCACGCGCATGTTCAGCCAGCCGCAGCAGAGGAATCTTTGAGCGAACTGAGAACATGCGCGCATGCGCATGTTCAGCCAGCCGCAGCAGAGGAATCTTTGAGCGAACTGAGAACATGCGCGCACGCGCATGTTCAGCCAGCCGCAGCAGAGGAATCTTTGAGCGAACTGAGAACATGCGCGCACGCGCATGTTCAGCCAGCCGCAGCAGGGGAATCTTTGAGCGAGCTGAGAATATGAGCGCACGCTCATATTCAGCCAGACGCTGAAGCAAGGAATCTTTGAGCGTTTGAGGAAAGTGCGTGCCGCCACCAGAATCTTATTGCTTACTTGCTTTGCTGGGAGCTTACGAGGAAGCCGGTAGACGTTGTGCTGCCATGATAGCGGTCGCATCTGGCCTGATGTAGGTGGAGAAGCCGAAGAGGACCAGCGCCCCAGCTGTTGCAGAGGAAGAGTGGGGGAGCCCCAGCGAGGTCGCGCGCGTGGCAGCGCCTATCCTGAAGGAGTGGGCTGTAAGAGCTGGGGAGACAAATTGCAGAGGAGCAGTAGGGATCTTAGCTGAGCTCTGAACCAGGTTGCTGTTATGGGAAGGTTGACTGGAGTGAGAATTAGAGGTCCGTTAAAATCTCCTTTTTGCCGCGGAGGCGAGTGTAACGCATCATGGACCTGTAGGGGCAGAGAGATGTGTCGAAGCGAGCTATTATTGAGTTGCAGGCGCCTCTGATCTTCGAATGTTTGAGATGAAGGTTGAATGGTCAGGGGACATTATGTTGGGTGAGAAGAGCGACCTTTGTTTAATGCTTCCACTACGTCGAGATGATCACGCATGACAGAGATCCTCTTTCTCTGCCACGTGTGATTCCGCAGCGCGCAGGCCACGACCACTGGGAATGTCTCGTGTAGGGCAGAGGAAATGCTCCGGGGAAAGTAGCGGGCCACGGCCGGCGAACCACTGGTCCTGGAAGAATCCCCCAAAAACCCACGGAAGGGGCAGCGTCCGTGTAGAAGCGGAGACCTGTAGGGGCAGAGAGACACACCGGAGAGGGCCATTGATGTTGCAGGCGCCCTTACGCTTAGAATCTTGGGTTGGAGAGTAGATAATTAGGCCAGTAGAATAGGACGGGAAAGCCGTGTCTCGGACCGCATAGAAGGTTGAGTGAGCAGTGGTGAAACGCTTATGCAGAGAAGCCACAGAAGGCGAGCAGAAGATGCTGCGAGGAGGGCAGACATGTACTGGAAGATGAGCCGGAGTTCAGTGCCGCTCAGAGCCGCTGCAGGATGGGCAGCATGATGGGGAGCCTGTGATCAGAAGAGTGAAGAACCAGGTATGGATGCCTTTGATTAGGAGTCCGATTGACGGCTCAGCGCAGCTACTTGGCCAGCTGCATCTGATAGAATCAGAAGATTCAGTAGAGAGATGAAGCACGACCGCCGAAGCGACCCTGGGAGCATAGGTGCGAGTCCGGCGCAGCGCGGCATACTCAGCCGGGCTGCATCCATTAGAAGCAGGATAAGCTTCTGAGAGAATGGGTTTGCAGTAGCAGTAGCAGCAGCGGCAGCAGCAGTAGCCTCAGATAATAACAGCAAAAGTCCTGTATCAAGCCGCGGCAGCAGCAGTAGCAGCAGCAGCAGCAGCAGCAGCGTCCTTAGAAAATAACAGTAATAGTTCTGTATCAAAGCCACAGCAGTAGAATGTTGTTGTAGCTGTTCAGGGTTTCAGTAAAAGAGATGCGAAGTGAAGAGAGATGGCAAAGTAAATGAAGCAGCAGCAGCAGTAGTAGCCGTATGAAGCAGCAGCAGTAGCAGTAGCAGTATGAAGCAGCAGCAGCAGTAGCAGTATGAAGCAGCAGCGGTTGCAGCATCCGTAGATAATAACAGCAATAATCCTGTATCAAAGCCAGAGCAGTAGAATATTGTTGTAGCTGTTTAGTGTTTCAGTAAAAGAGATGCGAAGTGAAGAGAGATGTCAAAGTACATGAAGCAGCAGCAGCACGCAGCAGATGCAGTATGAAGCAGCAGCGGCAGCAGTAGCAGCAGTAACGGTAGCAGCATGAAGCAGCAGCAGCAGCAGCTGCAGCATCCGTAGATAATAACAGCAATAATCCTGTATCAAGCCACCGCAGTAGAATATAGTTGAAGCTGTTTAGTGTTTCAGTAAAAGAGATGCGCAGTGAAGAGAGGTGTCAAAGTAAAGAAGCAGCAGCAGCACGGAAGCGGTAGCAGTATGAAGCAGCAGCGGCAGCAATAGCAGCAGTAGCGGCAGCAGAAGCAGCAAGCAGCAGCAGCACAATGCGATTCATACGAACAACAGACGTGTCACGCCAGTGTGCGCCGCTTGTCTCCGTGAGCCAGGTTACGTACGTGTCTGAAGAGCCGAGCCGTAGAGACAGGTGCAGCCTAGGAGCCTGCGGAGCGGCAGCGGCAGGAACAGCAGCAGCGGCACATGTAGTAGTAGGAGCAGCAGGAGCAGGCAGCCGGGACAGGCAGCAGCAGGAATAGGCAGCAGCGGGATCAGGCATCAGTAGGAACGGCAGCAGGGACCGCAGCAGCGGCGGTCAGAGAACCATGCCCACGGTTGTTTAAGAGCCTGAGGAAATAAATCAACCCGAATCCGAAACATTCCCATGCGAGAACCAGATGTCCCCTGGAGCCATCTTGCTGCTTTGATTATGGTAGAACGCATGAACGATCACTGATCCATGCGTTCATTAGCTCCAGCTCCACTTCAAACCCATTGCAGATTCACATTGGGCCCTTTTTCTTTCTGCTGCACTTTCGAAATGCAACAGCTGCAGTTTAGTTACCAATTTAATACTAGTGACCTAGCTATTTAAATGCATGGCCCCTCTTTCCTCCTGCAGATAGACGAATTTAAATACATTCATTTAACAATAGTGACTTGCGAGTAATGAGATTGATGCTGTAAAGATGGCGCTGTGCAAGAGCTCTGTGTGTGCCGTCTGGAGCACGATGGGGTAGTCTTTGCACATTTTTTTTTTTTTTTTTTTTTTTTTTTTCCAACGTGGTTTTACTGCAAGTGGCAGAACATGAATCTGAATTAATGCACATTGCTCCTCTTATATCCCTCAGACATTGGAGATTGATGCCATTTAAGATGCATTGTCCCTCAGTTAGCTCAAACACGTGTAAAACGGAGCCTGCAGACCAAGCACGGGGCGAAGACTGACGCCTGCAGTCAAGTGCGTAGGGCAAAAACCGGCCGCCTGCAGCCTAGACTCCGGGATTAAACTGTCCGCGGTCGGCACGCTCACTGTACTCACATGCCAGGAGACTTGGGAAGCAACGGGACAACGCGGCACCGCCAAACGGAGGCAGGGACACGCACGGCACCGCCAGACCGTCTGCGCGCGGCAGCAGACCACGAGGAACGAGCAGCACAGAACCGCGGAGGGGCCCCGCGGAGCAGCCCGCAGAAGAGCCCGCAGAGGAGGAGAGCAGTGGAGACACGCGAACCACAGCAGTGCAGGGACGTGGAAGAGGAGCAGACCACGAGCAGCCAGACTGAGGACAGCCGGGCCACGCGCACGAGCAACACGTGAGCAGAAGCGACCCCTCCAGAACAACGCATGCATTTGCGAATAGGTGCGTTAGCGACATGCACCTTGCAGGCTTCAGAAGTATGCA